GGTTGGACTCGATGATCTTAGAGGTCTTTTCCAACCTCAATGATTCTATGATTCTATGATTCTATGATTCTATTCGCACTGCCCTCAAAATATGTTTGAAGCTTATTCTGTTCTCATTTCAAGTCTTGAAAAATATTCATTCATCTAATACCAAATGTCAAACTAACCCTTGCTAGAATCAAGAAGTATTAAAAAAGGAAAACAAAAAGTACAAGCATCAGCTACTAGGATAAAAACAAAAGTTTGCCTGCTTCGAAAAATAAAGAGAACCTGAAAAGCAATCTAAAAGTGGCACTACGGAACACTGTGTCATGTAGAGACACCTGAGGAAGTTTAAACAGACTGAATGAGATGCTTCAAGGAATATAACCACATTAGCACAGTCTTCTAATTAGACTAGCTTGCTGTGATACTCAACAGGACCACTTAGCTGAGCCTGAGTCCTGAACTGACACAAATGTGTTGTGTCCACTGTCTAAAATCGCTCATTCAGCATGTGCTTGGTTATCACTGGACAAGATGGTATAAATGTATAAACATACCTCAGGATTCAGAAGAAAAAAATGCTGATCCTCAACTTTTTACCAGTGTTTGACAGATCTAGAAAAGACTTTCTTGTTCTTCTCACATTATACACATTTGTAAACACCTTTCAAGGAAGTCTTTGTTTCCAGGTATACATTTGGAAATTACATAAAGCACTGCAGAGATGCATGCCATTTTGAAAAAACCCAAAGAGAGCCCAGTTGACTTGGACTATCCTGTACTTAGATGCCTGACTGTATACCATAAAATAGTTTGCTGCAAACTTTGGTCTAACTAGTAAAAAAGGATCTAAAACAGTTTTACATATAGGGAGTTTGGGATTGGTTTTTAAATCTCCAGGGTAATGCTTTCTAACAAAACATCAAAATGTTGAATGAATCTATTATGGCTACAGTGGTCTGGGCTGTTGGAAGTTGTTCTAATTATAGCCAGTTTTGGAAGTAAATTCTGATGAAGTTTTACAGACTGAGGAAAATAAGATGCATAGACATCAAAGGACTAAATGGAGATATGGAGTAAAGTGAAGAGTAGGGTAATATCATAAAGACAGAGATATGAATGAAGTGGTAGTGGTTTTATGCAGAATATTTCCCCCTCCAATGTTCCAAAGGGGAAAGAAAAGAAAAAAAAAACAAAACACCACAGCAAACCCTGTCAAACTTGAAGCAACCAGGACTTCAAAGTATTCAACTAACTGGACAAATCCGGCAGTCACTGGAAAGATGAGGGATGGAACTACGTCCTTTAAGTTACATCCCCTTTAGGCACAATGATGGAGGGAAATCATCTGTCTAAATCCCATCTTACTACCTCTTCTCTTTCTTAATTTTCTGTCATAGTTACCCCTTTGAACAGTAGAATTCAGTCCTCAAAACTGCTACCTTAAAAAATCCTATTACAACCTTAATTAATATCTAGGCAGGCTCATTTGGAAGAGGTGACTTTTCTTCGTGTCCCTGTAGGCCCAGTGACCAAATGACCTACCATACCGTACAAGTGACAGCACTGCTGTTTCACTCTCCTACTTCCAGCTGCTTCAGTCCCCATCCTTTGCACAGTAAGAATGAAACAGAAGCCTGAACTTTACGCTTTACTGTTTTTGTTGGCCTGAATTTACTTTTTTACAGTATTTTAAAATTTTTATATGTTTTTATAAAATCCCTTCAACATATTTTTGAGGCTTATAATACTTGTGTTAAGTTACAGGATATTAAGTTGATGTAAAGATGTGATTCATTCCCTTTGTGCTTAAGATCATGCTGCTTATGCGACACAGCACAAAAAGGTGTGTCTGGGAAAGACATTAAAGTAGAAATCAATCTCATTTTCTTCCTTCATAGAGACAGAGTCCACCCCTACCAATCCTTTCTACTCATTCATACCACAAGATTGTAAGCTACATAGAATATAGTAACGTCAGAGCTTAAATATGGGCCTTGTCAAACGCTAATGTGCTATCTCTGTAACGCAAGTGTCCTATGGGGAAAACTATTACATGTATTTCTGAAAGATTTTTTTTTCCCATTTTATTATGCAAAACCCATAAAATGATATCCTCAGTTTCCAGAGCATCTCGTTAGAGACAAACTCAGAAAGGTAGATACATTGTCCATTGTTTGGCTGTAAAAACGTTCTGTGGGCAAAACGCCCTGAATAGATGCCGCAGACACTTCTATTCCCAAGGTATTTCCATCTATTCTGTGAAGGCAGTGGTTAATACTAATAGGAGTTGGCTGGATTACTGACATTTGGGAAAACAGTGGGGGAGGTGGAAAGAAGAAATAAAATGGGTGCAACAGATATGAGGTACATATGAGGGAGGAGAGAAAGTGAAAGACAACAGTAGGGTATATCTACCTCAGGTTGAACTTTTTTCTGGCGAGAAGAATCAAAACAGGAACTTTCAGCCATTTAAAAGAATGAAGCTGAGGTTCTGCTGTTAAAAAATAGCATTCAAACATTTTCTAAAGAAACTTAAGTAGCACTGGGGCACAGGATCTGAAATTTGACAAGGGTTTCCTTGGTGCCAGCAAAGTCTATTTTGCTGTCCAAATTTTAACCCACCCACATCTGGATAGTCAGGAAGGTCCTGAGAAATCATTTGTATAACCTTGTCGGCAATACGTCCCTCCAAATGTTCTGCCTGCACGGTGGTACTCCAGCATAGTGCTTTCAGGGGCCCAAGCAGCCCTTCCTTGCAAGCTGCTCCTCTTGGCAGCTCACGATGCTGCGATGTTACCTTGCAGACGACTGCAATAACAAAGTCTCAAAGACATGGAAAAAGAGTCACCATCCCTGGCAGACAAAGGATTGAAACTTGGACCACACTGTCCTTTGTTAGGTTAGCTGAGCAAATTCTGAGCAAATTAAAACACAAAACCCAAGCAAGGATCAGAGGAACAATGATAGGTGGAGGAACCCTAGTAATGTAATCAGTGGAAAAACCTAATCAGTGAAAATTAGAACACACTGAATTGGCTGTTTCCTAAGACCATCCAAGGGGAAGGATGAGACCATTGTCCCTGGTGTGAAATGCACCAAGGTGAGTCAATGGGGAAACTCTTTAATCAGAAAACTTTGCAAACAAAAGGGAATGATTGCCTACAGCAGCACAGGACTCGTTATGGGAAGTAGGAAGAAGAGCGTTTTGGGACAGTGTAAAACTCATGATGGGATTTTTGAAGGGGATTGTGGGAATGTGTAAAGATTGTTAGGGCATGTTTAGTGGAAGAACCAAAGATGGGGAAAGGGAGTAATCAAGGTGGATTGAAGAGGAACAAGTGTGGGGAAAAAAATGGAGGGAAAAGGAGAAGAAGGGGCCGGTTGAGTGTAAAGGTGTCTGGTCAGTAGCTTGTCTGACTGAGCTCTGTGCTTGAGCACTACAGTCTGTCCTCTATTCTCATTAAATCTGATTTCTGACTACCTTCTGTGTGGGTGTGCTCTCTGCTCTAGGTGTGTACGTATGAACACTAGAGAGCAGGAGGAGAGGTCTGACTGTCAGCAGCTGGAGAGAGCCATGAACCTCAGGGGCTCGTGGACGCTGGTGCCAACAACTGGAGCAGGGCTGGGGCACTGGGGGCTCCTCCTGGATAGACTGAAGATCTAAGGCCAACAGCAGCAGTGACACATATATCGTGTGTGTCATACTGTACTAGCAGACTCCAATCCCGATCAGCAGGAGAGAAGGAACAGGACTGGGCCACCTGTGCTCTTCATGTTCGTCTGAGGGCTGTGGGTGTGTAAGCGGGTGCTGGTAAAGGCAGTGCTTTCTCTCTGCGTTGACCTGTCTGGCTGGGCAGATGTGTAGCATGAGTGTGCACATGCTACCTCTACATACTTCTCATACAGAGAGTGAATGCTTCAGGGAGCCACAACTTGGAGCAATACCCATGACTGTGAGACAGTAACTATATTTTGTTTTAGCTGATTGTCAGGACAAATATGACTGAGATCTTTGTGGAGAAGTCTCCCACAATAATTTGTGAATGTTCCACCTACAGACATACTTTTATGTTAAACAAGAAAGTATCAGAAACATCATTCAATGTACTAAATAACGAGCATTACCAGCAAGTATCCTGCTCCTCTGATTAGACAAGCCACAGATCGTTTGTTCTCTCCAGCTTTTGTGATTTTAAGCCAAGTCAAGCCCCTTTCCAAGTATGTTAGATAGCTTTGTTGCAATGTTGTTCTTGTTTTAAATCCAACACTGATGCAGCATACATTCATTAAAAAAAAAAAAAAAATCTTACCTCCAAGCTGTAGAGATATTTGAAACTGTTTTTCTGATTGGCTGCCTTTTCCACAGCTTGAGCTAATTTTACTGCTCCTCTACCACCAGCCGACCAGTGATTGCAGGGTACAGCATCAAACGCTCCAGATTGCTTTGCAATCTTACACACCAGATCAACCTCAGCAGGAGAGTCAGTTCTGCCAACCAAACAGTTCCATCTCATCATTTTGTTTAATTAGTTCTCTTTTATAACCTTATATACTTAGCCTTATTCTACCATCAGCAGTTGTAAAGCAAGTCTATACAGAAATTATGCCATATACATAATGCATTTATATACAGCATATGTTTTACATGTTTCAAGAACACTTTTTGTAATTGTTATAGCTAATTAACATGGAATATTAATATTTCCATAACAGTATATACTTTTTTGGTGGTTTTAAAACCTTAAGAACAAGCTAAGGATTTCAAGGTCTTTATATTCACCATGAAAAAAGGAAATTCTTTAATAGCTTCTTTTCTTCATGCCAAAACTGATTAATTTAAAAACCAAGAAAAGTGTGAAATTTGAACCGTGGATTTACTCACAAGAGTAATGAAATAATAGACTTACTTGAAGACATTTAGAGCAACCACAACAGGAACTCCAAAGAGCTGAGTAATTTGAATCTGTTTCTGTAGATTACAGCAGCCATCAGCTACCAGCTGGAGGTTCTATGCAATTAAATAAAAATTAATGGAAATGGTAAGATACATCAAGTCTTCTCCAGACAAAGAATTTTCCATAAATGAAACTGAACATAAACATGCTGATCTTGACAGCAGCAGGCAAGTAAAATGCTTCCAGACAAAATATTTTGGCACTTATCTTATTAATTCTTATTTCAATTAATAAGCAACAGACGTATTTAAGTAACTAAGCAGTGCCCAAAATTTGTACGTGAATGTATTGCTTTTTCCTGGGACACAAGAAGGCAGTGCAGCTGATGACTGGTTGCCTGTCACAATTGTGAAAGGGCTGTTAGTCTCTTGTTTGCAAAGTTTATAAACAAACTACAGTAGTGGGGTGGGGTTTGACATACAGGTGTGTTAGATGCATAGTCTAATCTATATATTCATATATATCCCAGATAAAAGCATATTACTGGATTTCTGTATCTACTCTTTTTCCTCACACTTTGTAGGCCTTGTCTTAATTGCAACAACACACATATCCTTACTTAGCCTGATAAAACCAAAAGACCAGAATTTGTCTACAGCGAAGAGACAAAGAAAACAAACCCGTAGAACCCACTCTTGTTTGAAGAGTGACATCCAACACCAGACGTGAAGCACAAACAGGTCAAACCTGTTGTTTAATGAACAGGTTAAGCTATCATTAATTTCAGGGAGTGTCTTTGACCCCTGCACCACTCTGCTCTTGTGCTGCCATGGACTAGAATGAAGAGCTGATCAGTCTGAAAACTTAGTGGTCCTGGAAAAACTACTGAAAAAAAGTTATCTTTTGGCTAGCTCAGTTCCTCAGTACAATCTGCCATGTAGTCACACACATAGCACACACAAGAGCAATAACACCAAGTGGTTGGGGGAAGATGAGATGGCTTTACTTGTTGGCAATGCCTGTTAAGTGTGTTCACTGAATGTCAGCATTAGAGCATGCTATCGCCAAATCTGAGGCTGCACACTATCCAGCCAGAGGGATGAGAAGTTCTGATCCTCCATATACCACATTATTTTGTCCCTTTAAACAAAAGCTTCTCCTAAAGTTGTATAATAGTTCTTCTTACCTCTTCTGTGTATTCTTTCTTCAAGGGAGCACCAGCAGTTACCTGGAATAATAAACAATCAAAGTCATCACAGATTGACACTTGTCATAATCCTAAATGGTCAGAAGTGCACTTTTGCTTACTTTCTATACTGCCAGTCAGCACATACATTGCACACAACATCATAGCATGACTGCAGCTTCTGTTTTATTCCAAGTTACACTGGTACATGAAGAATAGCAACACTTCCTATTGTATTTGGGTAGCAAGATAAAGGTAGTGACTCAGCAACTAGTTGTAAAAGATTTATTAGAGAGGAAGTAATTGGGTCCCATTCTACATGCTTAACAATGCACCAGCAGTGCAAAGACAATGGACAGCAACCTCCAACAGCTGGCTGAAGGAATAACAGTAACATAGATGACTAGAAGAGGAACATCATCTTTGGGTGTCCTGCAGTTACTGCCCGTGGTGAGGAACTGCATGCAGGTTTGCTAGATTGAATTATAACACACATGACCATATACCTGCCTTGATACGCATGGAGGAATATCATTAAAAATAAAGAAAACTTGCATTAGAAGTGGACTAAAATGATGGAAAGTTATATAATTATGTCAACCTGAAGGACTGAAAAAGGACACCTCAGCTTTAGCTCTAAGAGACAATTAGCTGTAAGGGAGACCATGCATTCCAAAATTTTGTGGCTGTGGAAACAGCTCCGGTATTTTCACTCAGTGAGACTGTTTCCCTGGCAGCATCACTCACTTGCATGCTGCTGGGCAGGTGAAAGTGTTTCTAGGAGTTAAGTGTCTGTCTGCTTGGCTAGCAGAGTCTGATCTGATTATATGACTGAGGAGTACTTCTACAATCAGTAATCTGTACAAGTCTCTGGGTGACTTAAATAGCAAAAAGTGATACTCTGGTGACTTTTGTACACTGGGAAAACACTTGCACAATTTTATCAGTTACCTTAGCATCCCTGAGGGAATTAACCTGAGCAGATTAAAAGGACAGAGAAGGTTCCCATTACTGCAGTGAAAGAAATCTCAAAACCTTCACTAACAACATTCCCTGCTTCCGCTCACATACTGCAACCCAAACTCTTCTCATTCCTCCTCAGCTGCCAACTTTCCCAGCCTGCAACCACTTCAGTGCACTTACAAACGCTATTTCAAAAGGCAGGGAAAAGAATATATATACGTATTATAGCTTTTTCATACAAATAAACTTCCCTCCCTCAGCAAGATGTAGTACTTCTTCAGAGCTCTTTCACCCCTCTTCTTTGTTTGTGCCTTTCCATTCCTGTATTACCTTTGGAAGCAACATCTCTATAATGAGGTAACTCAGGAGGGATATCTAAATACTGCCCCACAAGCTACCCCCAATATTTCTTAAACCAAGATATTTTACTTATTTCAAATATTAGCAACAATTTTATTTTCCAAGAAAGGTGCAAAACCTTACATTTGGCCCACCTCCATGCATCTTCAAAGCCCTCACTGTAGCAACAAGTACAACCACACTGGGAACCAAGCCAGAGGCTCTGCATTTGATGTTGAAGAATTTCTCCATCCCAATGTCAGCACCAAAGCCAGCTTCAGTTACTGTTAAACATTAAAAAAACAAAACAAAACCACACATAAAACATGCTTTTGGTTAAACACTGGGGGATATTTCTACTTTAGCATACAGTGCACTTAAATATACACCAGTACTCAGTTTTGAATGAACTTTCAAATAGAGGTCTATTTACATTACTGAGTCTGATTAAAAAACTATTCCCAACTCAGAATTAAATTCTCTTATTCTTGATATGTACAATATGTCATCAAAAGTAGTCACATGGGGAAAAAACCCCAAGCAATCCAAGTTAGCTGGAGTCAAAGTCTTTTAAAAACATCTAGTCTTCTAAAATACCTATTTCTGTGTAATTATATTTAATATGTTTAAAATTCTTACAGATCTAAGACTTCCCTACGTTATTCCTCCTCCCTTGATTTTACTGAAGATGTGCTTTCATCACAATTAAACGACCTAAATTCTCCTAGGTTTGCAGAACTTCTGATCATCTCCTGCCTTTGCGGAGCAGAGGTTTAATTATAAACACAAAACAGCATTTACAGTCATGTCTCAGTATCGAAGATACTCTTAAACAGTGAATTCTATAACAGGACTTTGCACCAAAGAAGTCAGACATTAATGTGATTCAGGAAAAAAATCTGTGCAGAATTAGGATATTCCTGGCAAAGTATTTTTAGCAGAGCTACAAATAAAAGAGAAGATAATCCGTATTAAACGATGTCAGTCTCTTCACAGCTAATTTGCTCCGATTTGTCAAATATCAATTATTTCAATTGCCTCTTTTAAAATCCAAATAATTTTGGATAAACACAAGCACACAGCAATTCAAAAATTCAAGGGATTCAATCTCCCGTTGGTTGAAAATTTGCCGATGTAACTATTTCCCACCAGAACACACTGAAGAGTTGGGATCAATGCGTGCCTCTGGAAGATGTGAAGGGACTTGCAGCCAGACAAGTGAGGGTGGGAAAAGTGCTTGCTTCAGAGGCTCCTGGACCTGACTCCAAGCAGGGCTGGTAATGTGTCCCTGCAACCCCAATCAGCTTGCAAAAACTAGTAAATTCCCTTTTCTTTCTCTCCCTCTTGCCAGCAGTTTTGACTCTCATGCTTAGAAGGGGACCACAAACAGCTGATTGAACATTTTGGGGCTGGAAACCTTCAGCAGGGTCAAGGAGGAGGAGGTGCAGATCAGCTCTGCTGCTGTGGGAGAAAGTATCTTTCTGTTGGCAGCCAATGCACTTTAGGAAGTCCTAGCCTTTGTGCATTTGTCCTCACCCCACCGGTCCTTTTCCACCCCTTGGTTTTGCACAGGCTGAAACAATTGCCTGCATCATGGCTCTGCTCAGAGGGAGGAAATGGCTGCTGGGGCTGGGGGAGGAAGCAAGAGCTAGCAAGCAAGGGGGTGGGCATGCTGGGGGGGTGTGCAGGGACTCCTTGAAACAGTAATATGGCAAGTACCATGATTAACATTCTCGAAAATCATTGTAATAAGTATATTATCTTTTTCTGAATAGCCCTGAGAAAAACAGACATACCAAACATGGAAACAAAAAAAAAAAAAAAAAAAAAAGGAGGTTTACACAAACACAGTAATTCACAGGACAAAGCTAATGTCAGGATAAGTCATATTAAAAGCAGAGCTAGGGATCACATGTCTGCTTTCCAGTAACCCCCATTCTTCTTCTCCAGTCTCTTATGTGGCACAGTGTGATTAATGAGAACTCTGAGTCAGGAATATATAACCATGATCAATCTTTAATATAAACAACAGATAAACTACCAAGTACTTGAGAGGGTGGGAAAATAATTTGTCTCTTACGGAGATTGCCAGCGCATACACATAGCAGTCTCCTAACGTTTCCAAACAAAGTTTCCAGGGAGTTAATCCTTTTCATGCCAAGCCTTTTCAAGGGTCAGTTTTCCTTAGAGAAAGGGGGATAGCAAGTCTACCGTTCAGTGAGAGAAAAGCAGAGATTTCAGCCTTCCAGCAAGCACAGCAACAGCACACACAGCACTTCAGGGCTCTCAGGGAGATGCTCGACACCCTTCAGGCAGTCTAAGCAGCCAGAGCAAACACCCAGGAAAGCTGTGTGGGGGCACTTATCTGGGTAGCTGTGCATATTCCTCTATTCTTTGTAATGCTTTCCTTTGAAATGGAGGGCAAAATGCACATTTGCCTAAACAACCCAAATCCTGTATCGACATTTGAAAAGCTAACAGAACACTGGTGTTCACCGAGAGTGAGTGCTACAACACAGAGAACGGGATTTCTTCATTTGAAGCAGAGGAAAGGGAGAGGAATGTCGGTGCTTTCTCCAGTGTGCGGAAGGAAACAGGATGTAGTAGAAAAGCTGCCTGGATGAAAGTTGCTAACTCCATTTTATTTCCTCCGAGGAATAGTCAGAAGATACAGCAATATGCTAAGCTATTATATTTCAAAATCTTTGTGCTGAAACACTTAATACAATTACTTTCAGATTGTTTCCTGCTTTCAAATGAAAGTGTCAATGAAAAACAAATACAGACTTTAAATGGGAAGTTTCAAGCTCGTCTACATTTAGAGATTATGAGATAAAACAGCGAATCACTTTAAATGTAACAACAGAAATGTAAAGTAATACATGGGTTCATTTATTTCGGTTATCATTTCCCATACATGGTTTGTCAACAGAAGACAATTACAGATCACAGGTGAACTGATGAAGATTTTGGGAACAAACATCTACCTAAGCAGATGTGGTCTGCTGTACCTCAACTGAAGGAAAGTTTATGACGCAACCACTACTACCTGCCCACACAGAGTCTTTACCCAGCTTCAGCTCCCCTCCCCGAAAGCCTCTTCATCCTGCCCCCTGCCAAGCAGCCATTTCCCAGCCCTGTGAATCCCTGCTACCTAGGCTGCTGCCCCGCAAGCAGGTAGGGGGTTTGTAATAGACATGATGATGCCAGCATGATGTTAACTGCTTGCTTTGATTTCCTGGCCACAAACATAGCAGTTCTAATGAAAGTAAAGAGATAAATGATTTGCCTTCAGCGAGCTCATAGAAAACATACAGGCATTTGCACTTCCAGCCTGAGAACACAACCCCATGGCAACATATGCTGACCCAGATCAGGGATTTTACAGTCCTAGGCCTTGCTTTGCATCACGGATCCCCTTCTTGCACTGACAAGACTGGACAATGATCTGGACAAGTACTAAAAGATTATTTTCTGGGTGTAATTTTCAGTGAGTACCACTCTCTGGACTGTGTCCCTGCATGGTCTATAAAGTGCAAAACCTAATTCTACAAATACTCTGCTGTTTGATTTTATGCTTCAATTTTATAGCCCAAGTATCATAAGGAACATTAGAATGAAGACTAAAAATTATCATTTCATGTACCAGCAGTGCACTACCATTACATTACTTTTAACAGTGGGCCACAGGTCAAATCTAGCAATTAATATACACACATGTATCAGAAATAAACTGCATCAAAATGCTCCAGTAAGTTCAAATAATTTCTTCTCATAAAAGATCTATGTGAGGGTGACCAAAAAGCTAGGCTCATTTTAACACATTAGGGTAACTGGGGAATCTTGTTTCAGAACAACAGTAGGCAAAACACGACACACAATTACTATAGGTCTTTCTACAGGTCATTTACATAACATCTACTTCACTCCGTTCAGCTACCAAAATAACCAATAAACCATCATTTTTGCTCAGAGCAAGAACCCAAAAATACCCAAATTAGTTACGAAAGGGGGAGGAAAAGCTCATAAACATGGAATTAGGCAACAGCGATGATGAGAAGTCTGTCGGGCGGTGTAAAGTCAGAACAATTGATACTCTTCACTGAAGTCTCTAATTCCACTTCAGGGTTCAGGCAAATGAACAAATCGCTCTGATGGTTTTGTTTCTTGTTTTTAATTACCTCATTCTTTTAATAACCTCTTCATGGAACTACTGCCTTGCCAAGCACATCTGGGAATATTTTATCACCTATGCATGACAATAGCTTAAATAGTCAGTGTCATGGTTTAAGCAGCTAATCAGATTTCATCGTCATGCTTAATACAAATTTTTCACTACCTAAAAATACATCAATATAGCTTCATAAAGTGGTTCCGCATTAGCCTCACATACTTACATACTGCTTAAAAGCCTTACAGAAAGTGATGTTTAGAATTTTTTTTAAAGGTATTTCACCCACAATTGAACTTCATGTAAATTGAGGGTAATTCCTAGTGAAAGTAGCTTCTCCCTCGTCAGCCCTTTCTATCAACAAATCAATGTCAAAATAAAACATTTGCACTATAAAGGACCAAGTCAGATGTGTACATGAGGCAAAGCTTTAGGACACAAATTGTGAGCCTGGATCCCTGAACAATGTAAAAGGAAATGGAAACTCTGAGCTGCAAGCTGCCATTTACTACTGACATATAAACATATCTGTTCTGGTGCAGCTGTCTGCTGGTAAACTCAGGAAAAGAAGAGTTCAAAGTCACAGAAGCACATGAACTGTGAACCTGGAGCTGGAGGCATGCTAGCTGTAAAGTACTGATACGTTCTTGTTTAAATGAAAAATACCAAGGTGCACAACCGCCAAGATAAACTAGGATGATCAGTGATTTATCTAACAGGATATCATATTTTTGTTAGTATAGCTAGGGATGAATAAACCAGATGTTTGTCCATTCTGACTCTGGCAATTTATCTAATGTGAACTTCCATTATTATGACTGATTTTGGAATGTAACAGATACTTTTTTTTTCTTTTTCTTTCTTTTTTTCCTCCTTTCTCCTAACAGAGGGAGTTTTCCTATTCATTTTTCTTCTGACGCATTCTCAGATGGCATGCAACACAGGCATTCGCTGCTACCACCGCTGGACACAAAGTCCAGCAGAAAACTACACGTGAATATACAAGGCTGAACATTTTTCATGCCATGAAGAAAATAGTTTGCATCGGCTATCAAAGTTTTTACCTCCTCATTGGAGGTAACAGGTACTTTTCACCCTTTGCTAAAGAAAGGT